ATGAAGCAGTTGACACAATTTTTTTCGGAATTTTAAGCGATACCGGTGGCGGACAATTTGAATTGTCCCACTAAGGAACCTGTCCCACTATACAACAGTTTCCCCTACCTACCTGAAAAGACTTGCAAATAACTTTGAGGGTGGTTTAAGGAGGTAAAACTAATAATTGCCATTCATTGAATAAAGGGTTTTTATGAAAATATGGACACTATACCCTAGTCTTGGGTACAAATAGTACTGAAAGTTATAGACAGTACGCACACATTTTCACTCTGCTTAGGGAATGTTTATTTCAATATAGGAATTGCCTTACCCAACATTGTAAATTTGTTGCAATAAATACAAGAAAGACCTTAATATTATTTTCATGTGTCTTCTTTTGGAGTTATCTGCAGGATTTATAGAAAAGATGGAAGGAATAACTTCCAGCATCTGATTCGATGCCTGATCTCCACTGTAATAAGCTACCTGGTGCACGTGGGCCCTCAACCACAATAATCCTGAGGGTGGCGCCCGAGGTAACCCTTAAAGTAAGAATAGGAAAAATCGGCGTTACAAAATTGGCGCCCGAGCAGGGACCCTCAATTGCTGTAAAAAGAAGTTTCGTCTAGAATTAATCCGTTGACCAGTCCTTTGTAAAACCCAGACTCAAGATGACAGGAGGCAACACCAACGCTGGAGACCCGCCAACTACGAGTACCCCAAATACTATTGCACAGATGGTACATATTTACCCTGCCGAAATGGGGGCTTGTCAAAGTTAGGAAAGAATTGTATCACTCGAATCCCCTTTTAATTTGATTTTGCTGGTACCTGCCGCCTTCGCCTAGGGGCTGACAGGTAGAGGGTGGCAATACCAATAAAATGTGTCCCCGAATAACCAAAACTTGACGTGCTCGAGCCTGTGACTCGAACAATTTTTGATTATTAACCTAACACCGGAGAAAACCTAGGTGGGAAGTTTTTCGTGTCACGCCCTGTATTACTAACAAACTATCGGGCATGTTTTCATTGAAAACAATCAATAAACATTCAGTAAAAGTAAAACTTTCAGAAGCCAACTTTGTTTAACTTCCGTTGTCTTTCTGGCTGTGCACTAGCGGCCATTTTGGAAAATCGCCGCCACGGCCGCCGGGGGCAATTGGTCGATGGCTCCACATGGAAATTTGTTCATATAACGTCAATTCTCCTCTATGCCAAATTTGGTGCCTTTATCAAAAAGTGCACAAAAGGTTAGCTAATTTGCTGTATAGTCTGGCAAGTGGTAACTTGGTAGAGACGAAAGGGGGAAGAAAAGTGGGGCGTGACCTAAAAATATTCACTGACACCACCTGATGACAGCCATGTCTTTCGGTTCAGTGGCACCGAAAACACCAAGGAAATAAACCAATAAAATTATTAGAAAAAAAATTCTTTAGTTTCGCCAATAACCGCGCCACTGCGTGCTGTCGTTCAAACTAACCAATAGAATCATACCTCTGAATAATCATGCCTCTCCACATCCATCATTTCGCAATGTTGCCGGATTTTTTTTCTATTTTAAAATAATACACATGCCCATATAGCAAAAAAAAATATGTCATCAACGTGTTTATCATTATTTCCGTCAAGTTTGGCAAAGTAGCAAATTCTTTTGCAGTTCGCCGTTTCGCTAGCCAGACAATACTATAGCCCTAATTAGGAGTTAAAAGTTGGAACAAATTTCGTCCCAATAGCTTCTGCGGCTTCCGAAATATGGCTCTCGGAAATATTTGAAAATCACATTTCCATGCAAACCCCTTTGGAAAAATTTCAATTTTGAAATTTTTGGTTTTTCAAAATTTTGACTTTACCAATCGAAAGAGAAGGTCAAAATTAGTGTAAAAGCGTTTCTGTGATTTGTTTTTTCGAGATTTTAGGTCTTGTAAAAAATGGAAAATTGATTGCGCATTTTTGGTCTCAAAAGACTTTGATTTTTTGACATTGCTTCACAAAATCGCCCATAACTTTGTGAATACATATTTCACAAATTCCAATGCAAAATCATATTTTTATAATCAGAATTAAATGCTGTTTAAGATAAAACAAGATTTAATTATACAGCTCGAATAGTTTTTGAGATATCGATACTCAAAGTTGAAACTTTGTCTCAAATTTTGGAGAAGCTCAAATGCTGTTTTTCTCGAAAAGGAAGCCCTTGGGCTCGGAGTCTTAAATAACCTTTTTTGTAGCCCTAATTGAGAGCTACAAGTTGGGACAAGTTTCGTGCCGATAGCTTCTGCGGTTTCCTAAATATGGCCCCATGACAAATATGAAATTTGAAAATCAAATGTCCATGCATAATTCTTTGGAAAAATTCAAATCGAAAAAAAGGATACTTGTGAAAATATGGACATTTCCACCCTAGTATTGGGTGCAAATGGTACTGGAACTGAAAGTTATAGGCAGTACCAATATCACCGTTTTAAGGGCACCTAAAAAGACTTGCAAATAACTTTGAGAGTGGTTCAAAATCGGTGCGGTTTTAGGGCACTTATGGCCCTTATGAGTTGAAAATATGAAAAGTTTTCCATAATTTATTTATTTCGAGTTTTATAGTTTTGTATGAATATATTTTTCCCTTTAGTCCTTATTTTCCAGAGTTCTGTTTTGTCAAGGTTCTTTTATTTCAGTGCTTTTTTTTCCTTGTTCTGTGTTATCAGTGTTCTGTTCTATCCGGTTGATATTAAACCTAAACTTGAACATAAACCTCAAGCGGAAATATTAAAAGAAATGACAGATACTTGAAAATCTATTCTCTCTAAATCTCCTGACGAGCTTGTCGTTGCTATCAAGCCCGATCTTCAATTCAAAGAAGATGAACCTCACATAAAATCATTGAAAGAAGGAAATGGGAATTTGGAATCTTCCCTCTAAATTTCCTGAGCTTTTTCCTTGATATCAAACCTGATTTTGATTTTTGAAATATAGGAATAGATAAACCTCACACAAATTCATTAAAAGAAGGGAAAAAGACTTTAAAATCTTTACTTCCTAAATATCCTGAGCCTGTTATTGATCTCTTGCCTGATTTTGAAGTGAAGAGAGAAAAGCATAATGCGATATCCTCAAGAGCAGTAAAGCAAATTTTAAAATGACCTCTCTCTCCAAATGGCCTTAGCTTGTTCTTGATATCAATCCTGGTAAAGGATGAAACACCTCAAGTGGAATCATCAAAGTAAGTTAAGGATAGGTACTTAAAAATCTCCTCCTTCTGAATGTCCTGAGCCCGTTCTTGATGTAAAGAAAGGTAAACCACAAGCGGAATCATTATAAGAAGTGAAGGAGACATCAAAATATCCTCTTTTTGAATGTCCTGAAACTTGCTGATGATATCAAACCTTATTTTGAAATAAACCTTAGGCGCCCCACGCCGTATCTTTAGGAGAAGTGAAGGAAACTCCAAAATCTTCACTCTTCAAAAGTCCTGAGTCTGTCCTTGATATCAAGCGTGATATTGAAGTGAAGGATGAAAAACCTCACGTGGAATCATCAAAAGAAGTCAAGGAACAGGAAAAATGTCCTCTTTCTGAATTTCCTGTTTTTGATATTAAGCCTGATATTGGAGTAAATAATGGACAACTTCACGTGGAATCGAAAGAAGTAAAGAAGGCTAATCTCTTCTGTATAAATCTCTTGAGCCTCTTCTTGACATCAGATCTGATCTTAAAGTAAAAGTAGGAAAAGCACATGCAAAATCATTGCAAGAAGTGAAGGAGGCTTCAAAATCTGCTCTCACTGAACCTTACGCCACTGCCTACTTCTCAACCTGTAAGCGAAGATGACAGCCCAAAATTTCAAATAGAAAAGAGGGGTCGATATGTCATTTGATAGAAAGTTTTAATAAGATTACTTACCTATATCCTCGAAATTTTAAGTTGCTACTACATAGTTACAACCAGTCTGGCTAACTCAGTGGTTATACTATCCCGACGATAATTCACCCCAGTTGGTATGACCCTAACGATGACACCGTTTGGGGAACCTCACTGACATTGACATACAAATTACTTTGAGGGTGGTTTAAGGAGACAATACAAATGTCATTGGGTAAAACTAATAATTGCGATTCATCGAAAAAGGAGTTTTTGTAAAAATATGAACCATATAGACATATGGACATTTCCACCCTAGTCTCGGGCCCAAATAGTATTGGAAGTTATAGGCAGTACCAACATACGCCATACCATTTCGCGTACCTGAAAAGACTTGCAAATAACTTTGAGGGTGGTTTAAGGAGGTAAAAATAATAATTGCCATTCATTGAAAAAAAGGGTTTGAAATATAGGAATAGATAAACCTCACACAAAATCATTGCAAGAAGTGAAGGAGGCTTCAAAATCTGCTCTCACTGAACCTACTCTGAGCTTTGTCGTTGCTATCAAACCTGATCTGAATTGAAAAAAAATGAACTTCGCGCGGAATTATTATAAGTAAAAAATTCTTTAAAATCTCCTCTCTCTAAATCTACTGTGCCTGTGTTATCAAGCCAGATCTACAAGCAAATAATGGAAAATCTTACGTGGAATCCTCAAAAGAAAAGGACACTCCAAAATCTCTTCTCTATGAATGTGGAGTCTGTTCTTAACATCAAGCTTCATCTTGAAATAAAGGAAACAAAACCTCACGTGGAATTAATGAAAGAAGTGAATGAGACTTGTAAAGTAAAAAAAAGAGTGTAGTTCTAATAGATCAAAGATCATGGAAATAGGCCTTCAAGTCGTCTACCCAGTAACCAAAGGGTTGCTTGTTTTTGCATATTTGTGTGATCAGGGCCAAAAATCTTTAAACTTACCAAACAAAATTACTTCTCCACTGCATAACTACAAACAATAATTTCAAATATTTAATCAAACACATTGTCATTATTAGCCTTTTGATATTCATAATTTATCTGACATTGGCAGAAGTCACAAATAAATAAAACTTTGTACCAACAAAAAAAAAAAGGAAAACCAAATAGTGTAAAGTAAAAATAAAATTTTATTTTTAAATAGACAAAAATACAAATTATTTACAATAAAAAATAACATTCATGAAATGTAAATAGGAGTTATAATATATATTTTTTTTTAAATACAAATTACCTAAAGCAAGTGCTACAACATAAATAAATACAAGTCCAGAAATAAAATTTCAAGAAACTAGAATACAGTAGTTGCAAATAATATACATTCTGAAAAATGCCTCAATACAGCATTTTTCATAAGTATTTTGTCAATCTGCAACTGTGTTTCAGTACTAAAACAAAATAAAATACACAAAGTTATAAACTTTGCACATTCACTAGAAAATGGACGAACGATTTACCTATCTGTTCCTATTGTTAATTATTTGTATTGTTTTTTGCTTCTACAAACCCTAGAAAAAAATCACAAATTGACTACTCATGTTTTCACGTAAAAATCAGTCACAAAGCTTTTTTTGTTCATTTTTTTGTTTCTTGTATATGGGGACGTTTCAAAAATTGCATTATTTTTTTTTTTGGGACATTCCGGAAACGTTTGTTAGGGGCAGTATACCTTAAGAATAAAATAAATAGAGAACATACCCAAGGAACTTTCCCTACCCCCTCGCTAACTAAATTATTAATTAAAACAGCTCCTTAATTATTATCCTTAGTTATTAATATAAATTATTCCTTATATTTGATTTATTATGTATAGAGGAGTGAATAAACATTCACCCAATAAAACACCTACAGCATACCCCTAAATTAATTGAATTGCCCTCGAAAACGGAGCATCTCATCATACTTTAAAACAAGTATTTTAAAAATGGGGTCTCAATGAATCAAATTGCATTTTACTTATCAGCAAATTAAGTTTTTTGTTTGGTCTATTCCATTAAATTACCTTGTACGATTTTTGAATAAATTGAGCAGGGGAAAAAAACAAAGTATGCTGGATTATGACTCTAAATATACTGGCGAGCAGTAAAATTGATTCTACTGATACAAAACTAAAAAATATGAGCCTTTGTTGGGTGGTAACCAACACTATCTGAAGACCAGGATCTAAGAAAGATCACTAATGTGTTATTTGGTGTTTCCACGAGTGCCTTGTTGATCAGGCGTTTTTCGTTTTGAGGCAAGGCAACTCAAAAACAATTTTTGCCTTTGAAAGCATAGAGAACCTCCTGCTGACTACCATACCACTACTTACTTTCATAATGTGACTTCAGTTTTGGCCCACCAGTGTTCTGAAAGTAATTAAAAAACAACAACTACCTTCATGTTGAATTGATAAAATATTTCCTAGGAAAGAGGAAGAAACCAGGATCCAAAAAAAAATTTGATAGCTCAAGAAGTGGCTATAAGTTCGCAATCATATTGGCCCAACAACTAATAGTATACAATTGACATTTTTAGATTATTATTCCTACATGCACTTTATAAGCAACACCTTATATTACAAACACTCACATCTCATTGGTTAAATAAACACTAAATCAATCTATAATCCTTCCTCTTCCTCTTCCTTACCAACAAAATCAACTACCAACTACATCACAATAATAAAAAAAAAACCTATCTATAATTTCGCACCAGAGTTTTAGCCGTTTATATTTTCTATATCACACTAATCTAAAACACATATTATTTATTTGACCGAAACCTCGTAAATTCACAACCAATAGGAGTCCACGAACGCTATTGGACCGGATCCAGGGTGTCTTTGAGTCGTTTCATCACGTGACTGCCAATGTCGCGCACCTCCGGCCACTGTTTCAACGTAAACACTATGGCTATGACGAAAACCAGTGTCGTTATGATTCGGACTCTATATAATTAAGAAAAAAGGGATATAATTAAGGGTAAATTGTATCTCTGGTAAGCTGATAGGTTAGTGTCAGTCTAGGTTTACTTTTTTTTTAAAGTATGGTCTAGAAATGAAGTCAATATTGGGACCTTATTTATTGGTAGAAATTGAGATATAAAGTGGCTTGAGTTTTGAAAAGATTAGTACAATGATGCAGGAAATACCTTTTTTTACTATTGTCTTTGAGGACTTTCAATGATTTCCCCTTTCATTTAGAGTTCTTATGTTCTTGTATATGCTGCAGTTTTACTGAGATGACAGTTGCGTAGATTTCGCTGAATTTGGTAGAATAAGTTGGTTTTTTCAGATTTTTTTTATTCAAAAACTAAGTGAGAACATTTGTTTGCTTAATAATGGACTCAATAACTTCATCCATGTGGTCCACTCTTAACTCAAAGCCTTTTCATAAGGGTCTTGAGTTGACCAATTCAAAACCAATCTGGAAACTGTCAAAAATTTAATCCAGAAGAAAGGAAGCATCAATTCAAAGATTGCACTAGAAAGATCATTTCAAGATATATTTTCCATTATTAGGAAACCAAGATAATGCTTATACTTTGATCCAGAGAACTTTTTACAAGAAGTTCTTTGAGAAATTATCCAAAATATGCCTAAACATTTACTATTGGAACTTCTGATAAAAATTTCCAACTTTGAAAGTTTTGATTTTCTTGTACAGGGTAGTCCAAGATAATGCTTATACTTGTTCCAGAGAACTTGTTACAAGAAGTTCTTTGAGAAATTATCCAAAATATGCCTAAATATTTACTATTGGAATTTCTGATAAAAATTTCCAACTTTGAAAGTTTTGATTTTCTTGTACAGGGTAGTCCAATTTGGACCCTTTTAATAGGAAACGTTCTCGAGAAGTCTTAGACAGTTAGAGACTAGAGAAAACCTACTAAACCTCATATCAATAAAATCAGTACAATTAGAGCTATCCATTGACTTATTAATATACTGCCGAGCATAAAATTAGGGTTTGAGTATGTTATTGGATTCGGCTTGAAAAAGTACCTCTAGAAAGTTCATACAGAAATCGACTGTTTACATAAATAAAAAAGTTATGGAGGTTTCCCAACAGTACAGGGTGTCCCATTTTGATTGTACATAAGGGATAACTCGGTTGCTATTGGAGTTAGAAGGATGCGGTTTTCGCCAATAAGTTTTCGCGAACGTTGGTTACTTTTTTGTGAAACAAAAAATGACGCCAACAGAATTGTCATATCTCTTTTTGTTTTTCAGATACAAGGTGTTTTTGAAAAAGTTGCATTTTGGGACACCCCTTGTATCTCTGTTCTCTCATGGATATTATTATAAATATTTTCAGGTAGATGCTAGTGGCGTAGTTAGTTTTCTCTAGAAGTGATAGGTTTTAAATTATGAACCAAACATACGTATTTTCAAATGGGGCACCCTATACAGGGTGTATATTTTAAGTGATACCCCTATCGCTAGTATCGCTATATCCAAAGCAGTAAGAGCTACAAGGTTGATAAAATTAGAAAAAGGTTGTCTTTTTTGATGCCCATTCAAGATTCGTTTACAGTGTTGCCAAATTCCTTTTAGTTTTTATACAGGTTCATAACTAAGGCCGAATTAAGGTAAAATTTTGGTAAAAACCACTGATGATCAGATCACTTTTTAGATCAGAAATGTCGACCAATCATGCTTAAGAGGTATATCGTTAAAAAGGGAATACAATACAATACAATACAATACAATACAATAATTTATTGGTGCATTACTTCCAAAGTTTACACAAGTCAATTTTTGTAAAAAGCAAAAAACAAAAACAAAATTTACATACAGTTTGTGACATAATGAGGTAGGTGCAGTTAAAATCTAGCATTCTTATGGAGGTTAGCAAAACACTATAAAATTTGGTGCCTGAGATTCCAGTTTTTATTTTATGTATTCTATGATAGTTTGTAGAGAGGTTGATCCTATTTCTTGTAAGATTTTGGTGTATGTCCTGGTATGTCTGGTAACTCTGGTTTTGATATTTTATGTTGGCCATAAAAACTCATAAAACCATATTACAGTACCTACTAAAGTCTGTTTTTTTTTTAAAGATAATTCCCCAAGTCAAAAATTTAGTAACTATGTTGGCAACGCAAGCCTTTTCTACATAAAAAATTTGAAAGCATTGACAATTTTACATTGTATTGCCAACATAATGTCAGTTTGACTTTTATCTTTAAAAAAAAAACACGGTTTAGATGTTTCACATAGTTTGGGAAGTCAGTAACGGACTTGCCACCATATTCATTGTAAAATGACTCCTGTCAAAAATTTGGCACAATGAATATGATGGCAAGTCCGTTCCTGACTTCCCAGACTATGTGAAACATCTACTACTGTAGTATGGTTTTATGAGTCTTTATGGCCAAGAACAAATATTAAAACCTAATTAAATTATACAAGTCGGTTCAAAAGTCAGAGCCAAAAATGTGAGTCGCCAAGTACTCTTTTGGGGCTCTGTATCTCCATTGAGAGGCACTTTATCTCCGTTGAGAGGCACTTTGGGAACTTTTTCTTATAATAAATATAAGCAAAGTATGGCCGGAAAAGGTTGGTGTGCCTCTCGGCGGACATTTTAATTTAAGTTTGACAGCATCTTGGATAGCCTAATACGCTCCCGAGAGTATGCCATATACTTACTGGACACCCTGTATATTGGCACAACCCTCGATATTTTTAAAATTTTGGAAATACAGCATCTCTTATACACAAATTTAACAGCTTGGTTAGAAGACAGATAATAATATTGATAACCGATTTTATTATTTTAGAGTTCATTCCATAAAAATCCTTGGTACTTTTGTCTTTTAATTGTCTTAAAATGTCTGTAACTTCATTGATAGATATGGGAGTGAAATTAAAAACTGAGTTGGAAATACTTATTTTTGAAAGAAATTTGCTTACATAGTATTCTAATATATTTATGGCTGCAGGTCAGTTACTAACAATTTGGTCTCTCCTATATTGGTGAAGTGAAGATTATAATCATTTGGGGAGAACTTATTACTAAATATAGAGGGTGCTTCCTAAAAATTACCAAAAAAATCCAGATCTGTATTAAAAAAAATAGTAAGTTGATGATGATAGCTCAATCACGAAACGTCGGATTCAAAATTTGAAGATGCCATATTGTAGAGCGAAAAAAATTATAAAACTTTCAAATTTAAATTGTGTCCCAAAAATTAATAGTTTTCGAAACAATTGATGAAATATTTTTAGGCGTTTCTTAGAAATCACCCTGTATTTCGTAAACTAAAAGGAATTCGGCAACACTGTAAACGAGTCTTGGGTGGGCATCAAAAACGGCAACATTTTTCTTATTCAACCGAAATTGTAGCTTTTACCGTTTTGGATATAGCAGTAGTGGTATCACTTAAAATATACACCCTGTGGATTATAAACTCATGATGGCCCTGATTTTGCTGATTTCAATGATATATTTGATAGGTTTATTAACAGATTTTGAGCAAAAAATTTTCATCTTTTTTCGTCATATGAAACAATGTGTTCCTTAAGTAAGTTTTACACTGATAATTTATTGGTCAATTTTCAATTTATTGATCAAGTCACTTGTCAAGAAATATTGACAATGTAAAACGTCAACTTGGCGACAATTTAAGTTGTCCAAGTTCTTGCTCAATTTGTTTACGGATTAGCGCATGTTCTATTTGCGTTTTGTGTCAATTCAGGCTTGCGACCTAGAAATTATACTTTAGTTAATTCGGTGTAAAGTGAAGTTAAGCCATTGTTAAGCCAACATAAATTGATAAATAAATTGGCAGAGATAAAGAAGAAAGAGATAAACCTTGTTGGGGTTACATAAATAAGTTTGTGGACTGTAATTTTACTCTTTATTCACTTTATAAATAATCTTCGATAACAATCACTACTCACTACTTACGATACTAAAATAAATGAAAACAGTAAGCTCTGGCCTTGTACGGCATTAAACTAAGAACTTTATATTCGGAAATTTAAATGAAATTAGAAAAAGCTTGTGTGAGGATCAGAGGATCGTGAGGGAAAAAACCCTGGCTCTCTAAAAAGCAATTCAGGTTATGTGTTGTTTTTTTGCATTGTAATGCTCTATGGTGATGTGTTGCTTAGGAACGGTTATTTTTCTCAAGCCTTAATATTCCTATCCTTGTCCTTCCCGAAAATCATCGAGGAAAGTAGGTTTGATTTTGATTTGAAATCAGCACAAGCAGAGCTGTCCAATAAGCTATTAGGGTGTCTTATTTGAAAAAACGTATGTTTTCTTTATAATTTAAAAACCATCACTTCTAGAAAAAAACTGACTTCGCCAATGGAATCTATGTAGAAAGATCTACAAGAACCCGTTGTAACCTTTCCGATCACTTATGAGAGAACTGAGATACAAGGGGTGTCTCACAATACAACATTTCCAAAAACACCTTGCATCTGAAAAACGAAAAGGGCGATGACAATTTTGTTGATGGCATCTTTCTTTTGACAGAAAAGTAGCAAACCTTCGCGAGAACTGCATCCCTCTAACTCCAATAGCAACTGAGATATCTCTTGTACAGGGTGAGTCACCATATTTTGACACCCACCTGCAGCCGTAATTACAGGTGATAGGTAAAAGGTGTAAATACAAAAGTTGTAGCATTTCATCTGAACCGCCAGGATTTTTAATTGGATTGCACAAATCGTCGCCTTCCTTACAAAGGGGCTTATTTCAAAAAAATTGCTAAATTGAGTTAGGCCCTTGGGAGACATCAAAAGAGTTGCCTACCCTCTGAAAGGCGTATCTTAAATCCTCAAATATAGGTAATCTCGAAAGCCTATCTCATCAGATTTGGCACGAAAATAATCTCACAAAATATTTGTAAAAACTTCTTTTTTCTCTCCTGAAAAATCACAAAAAATGAGATAGGCCCCATTGCAAGGAAAGCGACGAAATGAGCAACGCAAAGTTGAAAAATATGCCAATGTTCACCTTTTTTTAAATGGAATGCCCTTCATTTTCTTCCAAATACTTAAAGTTCTCGTTTTTCTAATTCAGATTAAAGGATATGTAAATACAGTATTCGCCAAAATAAACAGTACTGAACATACCGGGTGGGCCAGCGAAAAAGAAACAAGGCCGATATCTCGTATTCATCGTTCATTGAAAAAAATCGCTCGGACCCGTCGATTTTTAATCGGAGGGGGAAATCTTTTGCACATATTTTCAATGTTGTCACTTCACCCCTCTCGCGGGGGTAAGCTCCAACCCTTAAATCTTAAATGGCAGTAGGGGTCGAGCGATACCTCATTTTAAAGGACATCGAATTCTCTTTTCAACAGAACCTATTTTTTTAAATTTGATACAGTGGTTTTCGAGAAAACGCATTTAAAAATAGACGGAACTAGTACTGTTTTAGTCATTTTGAGCACTATCAATTTTGTAGTTATAAAATTTTTTAATTAAGAAGTGATTTTATGTGTTTTTTTTTTAAAGTTGTGTGCTATCCAACTTAAAATCACAAGGTTTAAGTCTAGTTTTTTTTTATCACTCAATAAAATTCAACTAAATACATTCCAATTTTTAAAAAATTTTGAAAAAAAAACTTGGTAAATTCAAAAAAATAGGCACTGTTGAAAAGAGAATTCGATGACCTTTGAAATGAGGTATCGCTCGACCCCTACTGCCATTTAAGATTTAAGGGTTGGAGCTTACCCCCGCGAGAGGGGTGAAGTGACAATATTGAAAATATGTGCAAAAGATTTCCCCCTCCGAATAAAAATCGACGGGTCCGAGCGATTTTTTTCAATGAACGATGAATACGAGATATCGACCTTGTTTCGTTTTCGCTGGCCCACCCTGTATAAATTATATCATTTATATTAATTTGTATCATGCATATATGTTCAAAAAATGCATCATAGCGACGCAAAAAAGCTTCATAACGATTCTGCAAATCATTGAAAATATTTATTAAGAGTGGTTGCTGAAGTTTTTCTGAGACTAGTTTCAAACTTGAGCCTTTATTCCTTCCAAATCCGTATGACCGGAAAAAGTGCTCTACTAAGAATACTGTTTCTTGAGTTGAAAGATACATAATGACGAAGATTTTAACCTTAACTTAATGTCAATCTCATAACTAATCCCAAGTAAGCGAAATATGATAAATGCAACTTGCATGCGCAATAGACCTATCTATTTTTACCTGTATGCGCGCGCAACACGAGGCAATGCATTTTTATTGGCTAACAAGTACAGGTGTAAAATAATCCTTTTGCACGCTGGGCATCTCATTGTCCTTGTTCATTGCCCGTGGTCTGACAAGGATAAAATTATGCTTGATATTCAACTTGACGCAGCTTGACAAGTGATCGATTTTCAATTGTTTGTGTTTTTGATTGACAGATAGGTTGCACCGGGGGTTGCACGTCACGCGGTTTTCCTCCTTCCTTTTTTATCCCATGCAAATAATAAGAACGGATTGCTATACGTAAATCTAACATAATTTGGTACGTTTTGCCTCGTCTTGCGCAATAAGCGTTCTGCGTCTTTTTCTATCTAATAAAGATTTCGTATTATTACCTCTTTGTCTGGTAAAATAGATAGGTCTATTACTCAGAGCTCAATTACTTAGAGCTCTAGATTTCAGTACGGTTTATTTTGGCGGGTACCGTATTTCTTTCAATAGTTTTGGAAACATTTGGATAAGACCGATCTCCTATTACCTGGACTGCGTGCGTCGCTTGTAGGCTGCAGGTGAGCGTCCAATGAGAAGCAAGTTTATGACAGGCTTGCGTCATATTATTATTCAGGGGCCAGTTCAGAATGAATCGTTCCTTCTTTCTTTGTAACGTGTAATTTGACAAAGAGCAAACTAATACTTTACATATTACTTGAACTCACCGCAGATTCGTTTAAGGTTATGTTAGATTAAACTTGACATACTCCTTTGCAATTTCATTGAGCGATGTTGCCGGATGAAACATTTATCAAAATAAAAGTGCAAACGATGTTTATCCACTTTAAATCTCTTCTTTTGTCTGATTTAAGGCGTTGTGAAACACTTGAGACTATAATACTTCTTTAATGATATAATGTTCGATTTGTATTGTCTACATTTGTTCTGCAACAATACAATCTAGCTACACTGCAGCCTACGAGTTGCGCGCGCATGTCATCTTTTATTGTTTTCTAACTTGTATTTATTACAATGAAGCTTCCTTTTTCTAATCATGGGAGATAGGTCTATTCAGTTGCAAAGACAGTAGTTTACTATATTTTACCTTGATTTACCTGTCACCTGTTCACAAAACATTCTGATACGCGAATAGGTCTTTGAATAACTAAACTCCAGATATTTTCAAAACTATTGAAAGAAAAATTAATATATTATATAATTTGAATCAGAAAAACGAGAACTTAAAGAATTTGAAAGAAAATAAAGTGCATTCCATTTAAAAAAAGTGAACATTGACATATTTTTCCATTTTGTGTTGCTCATTTTTTCAATCTAATGAAAAATTCTGGTAGTTCAGATAAAATGCTACAACTTTTGTATTTACACCTTTCACCTATCACCTGTAATTACTGCTGCAGGTGGGTGTCAAAATATAGTGACCCACCCTGTACATACAATCGAAATGGGACACACTGTACTGCTCAAAATCGATAAACGCCCTCTAGAAGCAAAACCGTTGGAGGTATCAAAACGCGGCTTGCATCAATGAATATTTCATGAAATTTGAGCTTCAGAGTGGGGGGTTCCTCTTTTTTATATCTCGCTCAGAAATTAATAAAAATGTCCAAATTGGACCACCTTGTCCATGGTTCTTTTATCACTACTATCTTTGTATATGTTCCCTTTTTCATTAAAATTTTCGGAATTTTTCTTCTGGTAGCATTGGTATCAAGTCTTCAAAAAAAACCAATCAAAGATTGCTTCGAATACAAAAACGTATGTCGCATTATTGCTTCTTTATTGGTCAGGATTTTTGACATGCCATTTTGACATTAAAGTTTATTGACAAAATTAAAGAAAAATATTGCTAAGACATACTTTTAAAAAACCATACCAATCTTTTATTGTTTTTTTTTGAAGACCCGATACCATGTCAAATGCTTTTCTCTCTATCTAAAAATAAGCATTTTCTCTCTACACAGTTTTATCCCCTTTCAACAAACACCAAATTATTGCAAAACTCCTTTTATTTGAGCCACACAATATCTCCAACGAGAACCCAATATAAGGCTTGTTCTTACAGCTGTGAGAAACAAGTCTCTAACAAATAATGATGCGCAATAAATAAGAGAAAATGCCTTCATGCAAGAGATAACTGATAGGTTCAGAAACAAATTTGGATTTACTTTGAAAATGTTTGTTGAAAATTCGTTGTGATAACAAACCTATAAAGACTCCATTTCTAGACACTATACAAGTTAATTTTCCAAGCAGGCAATAATTCAAACAAACAAAATACCAAAAATACATACAACCAACAACGAAACCTATCCGTGTCAACTTTTCGATATACTCCGGCTAAATAGGGACGGCCACTTGGGATAATAATAGGCCACGTTGGCGATTTGTCCCGTTTTAACTTCGGTTATTTCCGTTACGGTCACTGTACGACTAGGGCTGAAGAAACAGAAAAAAATAATTCATAATAAACGTAGACTGACTCATTGGCGAATTAGACACCGAAACTTACCTGGTCCTTAAGAAGGGCATAATGATGCCGGCCCCTGTAGCCACTAGAAGCAGAACGACTTGCAACACTGTCAGCAAGACGTTGATTAGCTTGACTACAAGCGCACGCGCGTTTGAGTTGTCCAAACCTTCCAGCATTACATATTGTTGCTGTTGGAGAGCTTGATGTTCCATTTTTTGAATCTGAAAATAATAATTATTATTCATGTGTAATAATTAAAAATCTGATTAATTTACTTTTGTTTGACAATGCTCAAGCATCTCATGTATATCCCTGAGTCTTTCTTCACTTTGATATTGTACTTTTTCCTCCATATCGGCCATGGCTTGCTTCAAATTTTCTACTTCATTTTGATGAAGTTCTGTCAAATCATTTATCTGTTCTTCTAATCTTTCAGTACGAAATCGTTCATCCTAGAAAAATACGTTAAGGAAAACTAGCTCCGAAAAATTCTTCAAATAACCAACCTGTATTGCAAGATTTACAAGCTGAATATCAGTATGGAACGACTTAATGCTGTCCAAACCTTCCCGGAAACCGTCCAACTGCTCCTGGAAATATTTGAGTTTTTTGTTGAGCTCTATAAAGTTATCTTGCATACTAGACTCTTGTAAACGGCCATATCTAGAAATTGTAAGTCGTAAGTAATGCCAATACAAAACTCAAAAACAAACCTTCCAATGCTATCACTTGTCACGCTACTCTCACACTCTGACCCATCGTCACTGGGAAACTTCCTATGTTGTCTACTTCTATCCTGCATACTACTCTGAGACGCCGTCATTGGCAACGTGGCACTGCCATGTTTGTTTTTCGTCTCCTCTTGCACTCCCTCTTGTTGCTGTTGATGCTGCGACTGATGTTTGTCAGCGCAGCTGCCCTCGGAGCCAGTGGTTTGATTGCCCGCCGGCCCTACGTACCAAGCTGCACGATGAGCGACAATTATGAGACAAGGGATGCGTGCGGTTAGAAGCGCGTAGTGCAGTTATTTTAATTGGGGGATAGGCGAATAAATAGCGGCAAAGAAGTGTTAACATAAAAACTTGATAATATACTTACTTGACAGTTGGCTGATATTATCAGCACTTCCAAATTTGTTTTTGATTAGATGAGCAAACTCTCTAGGTTTTGACATGACTGATCCACTGAATCCTGTTAATCCATCTCTGATATTTCCACCAACATTTCTAAAGCAAACATTTTTAAAACAAAGTAAAAATAATATTTGAATTAATTACTTTAAACCTTGTCCCATATCCCTCAAAACTTCTCTAGGAGGTCGATGACTTTGAATACCCTTCTCCAAATCGTTTACCTTTTTCTGATAGACATCCAGCTTCTTTTGTAGCTGCGCTATAACTTGCGCACTCTTTTGATTCTTCTTCTCGAATACAGCCTTAATCCTTTGCACTTGTTGCTTGTCAGCATTGGCAGCCAACTTCAGATACTCGTTGACATTATCGTCGCGCATTTTTTGCTCCGTCCTAATCAAATCTCTCACCCTGATAATCTTGCTGCACAAATGTTCCAGCACCGCACTGGTTTTGGCGTCCATAACGCCACAATCGGTGTCATCTTCCTTGTTGGCTTCGCCGCCGGAACCGTTTGAGAAGAACGAAGAAGGATACAGGTCGGAAACGTCGGGATCTTGCGAAATGTTGGCCAGTAGGCCGGCGGAATCGTCGAGGAGACTGTTGTCTTGCGACGAGGGGTTGTAGTCTTGGTGAGGGTGGCTTTTGGTCAGTTGGTTGGGACTTTTGTGGCGCGATGGGCGCGAGTGCGATGAAGCAGCACCTTCATGACTCTGAATGAAAAAAAATATCTATTAGATTCAATTATACGGTTGGAATACATAGAAACCCCTGTGGGGCAAAAACTGGCTCAGTGTCATTTTTGGAAAATTTTCAATGCTCAATAGTTTCAGTTTTGAGGCTTCTCAGATGTAAAACTGTCGAAACTAAATCATCATCTTAATAGATATTTTTGTAGAAAATTAATTGGCTTTGATTAGAGCTCAATTATACTGAAATCGGATGTTAACGCAGCTGTGATGCAAAATCCTCGGCAAAAACTGTCTCAGTGTCATTTTTGAAAAAGTTTCAATGTTCGATAATTTCAATCTTGAAGCTTCTGAGATGCAAAACTGATGGAACCAAATGGGTTTGTACTGTTTGTAGAGGATTTAATTGGATTTAACTAAAGCTTAATTACAGTACAGATAATCTGGCCTATGATGTATCATTTTCTGTTATTTTAACAGCAACGTTAGGTTGCCTGTCACTGTTTATTCTATACGTCAAAATAGAGAGAAATATAGATGTTGAACTATAACATAGCTGTTAAAATAACAGGAGTGGATACATCATAGGCCTGAATGTTAGAATGAGATTCGAGAAAAATAAAATGTTAATTCTAGGAGACAGTAATGTAGTAGTTTTCGTACAGATTCTAACCAAAAATATGGGAGACAAATATGCGATTTTTTCTTTTGTGAAACAATGCGCTATTAGATAATATTGTTGAAAATGTAAGTGTTTTAACTAATGATTTCTCCAAGAATGATGTATTAATAATAATGGGTGGTTTAAAGAATTATTGTAATCGTAAAAGAATGACTGAGTGTACTAAAAACAAATTGAAGGGAGTAAGCTTGACCACAAACGTCATATATTTGTCAGTTCCACTATGGAATAATAGAGAGGACTCAATAAATTTATCACTGAGTTTAACAGAACTATACAGGATGTTCAATCAAAAATCGCTCAGACACATCAATTTTTGTTTTTTGGGGGACACATTTCATTGGTATTTTCACCCCCTACCTGTCAACCCCTCAGTGGGGATAACAGGTACCCCCAAAATTTCAAATAGAAAGAGGGGTCGAGTGATATGTCATTTGGTAGCTATTTTCATTAAGATTATATCCCCGAAGTTTTAAGTTGCTACTATTTACCCTGCCAAAATGGCGGCGTGTCAAAATTTGGATAAATGCTTTTTTTCGATGATCTAAAATGTATAGTTTTTACCTGTCACACCTATGCGTAGGTAATAGGTAAAAACCACACAGCATTTTTCCATTGGTTTTTCCTAACTTTGACAAGCCGCCATTTCGACAGGGTAAATAGTAGCAACTTAAAACTTCGGAGATATAATCTTAATGAAAATAGCTATCAAAGTACGTATCACTCGACCCCCCTTTTCATTCGAAATTTTGGAGGTACCTGTCACCTCTACTTAAGGGTTGACAGGTAGGAGGTGAAAATACCAATAAAATGTGTCCCCCAAAAAACAAAAATTGACGTGTTCGAGCGATTTTTAATTAATCACCTAACATCTGAGAAAACCTGTGTATGGGAAGTTTTTCGTGCCCCACCCTGTATTATGATGTACAATTAAGTAAGACGAGTATGTTTATGTTTTTTAATGTTAATTCTCTTCTCAACACTGATTGTTTTAACTATCACAGAAATGGTATGCATGTGACATCCTGCAAAACTTGAAATATTGGACTATCTAAAGGATTTTTTTATTTTTTTTTTAAATTGTCACAGAGAGAAGGATGTTACGATAGCACCTTCCAATATTTCAAATGAAAATAATTGGATGCAAAAAACTCGGTTTTGCTTTTAAATTCTCAAAGCCTGCTTGCTAAATTTGAAGAAATATCAAGGACTATTTTTAGTTCGAAACCGTTAGCAGGTTGTTTAACAGAAACTAGAATAATAGCTGATATTAGGAATAACGAGATATTGATTAGTGGCTACCAAATTGTTATATGTGATAGTCACAGCAGACACACCGGAGGTGTTTTATTCCATGTTAGGAATGATATCCAGATTTTTAAAAAGGAGGTGTTTGTGCTAGGTAAAAATTATTGGCTGTCACGTATTTACCTACTATCAATCCAAAAAAGTACTATACTCTTGTAGGAATTTATCATTCTCCAAGTAGTAGTGATGCAGAATTCTTAGATAGTTTCAATAGCTGATGTCTCCAAAGTTCTACCTTCTCTACGCATACAATCATTTTGGGCGATTTTAATATTAACTGGCTGCAAGCCTGCAAGCTAATACATATAAAGTGAGATTAGAAAAAACTATGGCTGATTTGGGATTTAATCAGACAGTTGACAATATCACTCACCCTACGGACTCGGGAGGTAGTATAATTGATTTGGCGTTCTGTAACTTTGAGAGAATTGATGGTAGGGTTGATGTTATTGGAACGCCGATGATAACAGATCATTGTATAGTCAAAATTGGTCTACATATGCACCAGAGTAGTGATATAACGAGTGACAGGCAAATTATTTCCAGTGGGGAAATAGACTATGACGAAATGAATCGGATACTTTCTTTGATAGAGTGGCGGTATTTGGTTGCAGGTGTGGACGACAAATACGACGCATTTTTTTCGACCATATTAAGTGTTCTAAATCAAGTTGCACCCAGAAAAAAATATAGTAATCAAAACTAGATATAAAGAGGGGTGGAATGACAGGGTAACTGAGGCGATAAATCAAAGGGACCAAGCCTATAAATATTAAATATTACGAACAAAATAAATCCGACGATAAGACAATTTACAAGCAACATCGAAATAGAGCTGTACAAGTTAATCGCGAGGAGAAGAAATATTTTGAAAATAAGATAGACGGTTGCAGAAATAATACAAAAAGAATGTGGGAAACATTGAAACCTTTGTTATCAGAGAAAAAAGATACCAAATTAACAGAACTAGAAATAAACAATGAAATTATATCTGACCCACAACTACTATGTAATAGTTTTAATAAGTTTTATGTCAATAGTATCGACGAAAGATTGATACAACCAACACAACAGAATGTTTACAAAAAATAGCAACACCTTTAAATCTACTAACACATTTAGTCATGAAATCTTCTAAAGAATTGGAAAAAGTTGTTTTTCAATTACCCATTTTTTTTCACCCCTTTAAAAATAAACTCACATTTGTCTTCAGTAAACCATTGGTCTTTAGCTGGTCTAGCAGAGACAACTTATCATTACAAGAAGCTCACCATCAAAAAGATGTTTCAGCAGTCAAGAATTTATTTCAACAACAGATGCCTACAGTATGATCTGTTTTCGAATTATTTGTCGATTAGGATTAATGTCAGCAACTTGTCAAATCACAGTCTGAACATTACGAACTCTCTAAGAAAGTCCATTATGAGGGAGGAGATCAGAAGATCATACCAGTCTATTTATATCTTGGATTTGCATCTCAAGGCAATTTATGACAGGTTTAGAGTTATTTGGGATTTCGAATCACTTAACAGGTATTTGAATAAGGTTTACAACACCACAGAATATTTAAGGCAAAAAGAATATCAGAAACTCAACAATAAGTTGGTCCAATTAAAAACTAAAAAATAAAATAATAATAATTTAATTGATAATGACAGATCTGTAAAAATCAGCTGATAATAATTTCCCAGGTTTGGATATTCAGATAATTGGCGACCCTATAATTTCCGTCCATCCCAAAACGATAAGTAATGTGTTTTTTAAAGCGTGGAGAAAGAAACGACGTAAAAGCCCTTGAAGGGCCACTAAATAATTAATTTCTTCTCCTGCTTTGAAACTTGTTAAAATTGGGGATTCACTATACTCCATACCTTCCGATTTCCTCCTTACATAAATGGGTAGTTTTAACCCTTGAGGGGTGTACAGTGTGTTTCGGAATAATTTCCGGGTAAGCTTTTAAGTTTAGACCTATTTATACAATGTTCAGTGATATTTTTTTATATACCTATATTAAGTCCCAAACGTCAAACTCTAGGTTCTCCTTTGTAATTGTTTCAGCTGATGATTGGATTCCTATAATTCCGAAACATGTCCTAGTAGGGTTCCAACAAAGAAACAAATAAAATTTAGTGAAGAAGACTGAACTTTTCTTTCTGTAATTTACAAAGCTCCACTGTAAGAAAATGGACTATTTTTTCAATTCATTAATAATCATAATTTCCCATTAGGTAAAGTTAATAATAATCCTCGTAATATTCTTATAAAATCTCTGAGTATTAAAAAAAAATATATCTGACAATGATTTAACTGTCACTAGAGTGGATAAGGGTAGTTATGTTATAATTCTAAAAAGTGAAAAGTATAAAAGTAAAGTTCTAAAGTTTATTAATGATAATGAATTTAATGAAACTACTATCAACGTCAACACGTTTCATAATAGAGTAAAAAATGTTTTAAAAAGATCAAATAATCTATTGACTGAAAATCTGATGAGGAAATTATCACTGAGCCGAACCATTCCTCTAAGACTCTATGGCTTGCTAAAAATTCATAAATCAGATAACTTTGACGAAATACCTATAAGACTGGTAGTTTCCTTTGTAGGCACACCAAATGGCTAAATACTAAACTCAAGGAATTGTACCAGAATGCACTTATTTATACTATAAAAAATAACGTAGAGTTGGTCGAAAAATTGGAAATAACTTCTATATTAGCTAATGATACACTAATTTCTCTTGATGTCTCTAATCTTTTTACAAATGTCCTGAGGAATGAGGTGCTGGAGCTCATTCTAGAGGACCTTATAACAAGTGATTATACTTCTACACAAATTACTGAGCTAGATAATCTACTTAAAATGTGCCTACAACAAAGTTTTTTCATATTCAATAATAAAACTTCCAATCAGGAAGAGGGTTTAGCCGCCCATGGCTCTCCTCTGTCTCCTATCTTGGCAGACATCTTTATGCATAAACTAGAGTTCGTAAAAATTGTAAAGGATAACCAATTTTCTAGATATATAAAATCATAT